GATTATATGATGAGTGGAAGAAATAGGTACCAACAGCGGTACAGTGAAGCACACTACAGGTACACGTGGGTGGTGGGCGTATCGAGTCAGTTTGTGAATGAGTTTATGCACAACGACATAAATAACCGGCGGTTTTGATCGTAAACCGGCCAGTCGCGGACTCGGGCCGCCGTCGCCAGTATCTCTACTCGCGGCTCCCGATATATCCGAGCGCAGTGTTCCAGCGGCCGGCTCGCTCCCTGCCACTACCGTCATAACGCGCTCTATGAGAGATTTATCGCTCCCGTATAAATTAACTGTATTGTGGGATCAACGCCGTTTGATCTGTTATTCGCATCAGCGTCAGGAGTGAGCTGCTGCGTAAACATCGGGATTTATGTGGTTAGAGCAGTGAGTGTCGGGGTCTGGTCAGTGTCGGTGGTGGTGCGGTAGTTTGTGGAGATGGTGACTGTAAGCTGGTGAGCTACCTCCAGCCCTAGCATGTCGCGCAGGGAGGTTCGCGTCGAGCGCGGGGAGTACCCGCTGCCGCCGCCCAGCAAATGTGCCAAAGTAAGACGCTTATACAATTCGGTAGTTTCCAACTAGTCAAATTCAATAATTTTATCCAAATGTCAAAAAATAATCTTTTCTATGAAATTTGTATGATGTTAATTTCTTAAAAATTAGCTAAAAATATCTCTAATTTAGTGTATCGATCGATCGATGAATGAAACTATTGTTATTTTTCAATAGTTTTTCGTATTTCAACGTCGAATTAATTTATTTTTACCTAGGTAACTACCTACCCAATTCTTATATATTATCTCATGGTAATCTTTTAGTACTTAGTAGTCGTAGCAGGCGCCGTAGTAGATGTAGCAAGTGGGACTGTAGCGAGGGATCTCGACTTGTGCAAAGACTAGGACAGAATCTAAGAAGTTGCCCAATCACAATATATGTCAGCAAGCTCAAATTTACTTCTATTTCATGGCACGATATGAATAATATCATAGCCTGCAGGACATGTGTCATGTAACGTAATAGTCAACTGATAGAGAAGAGGACTGAAATACATAAATTATCTTATTTCCAGTTAAAATTAAACTGTTGAAAAGTCCTCATTTAACTTATCTAAAAATAAAAACTTGTCTATAAATAATAGTTGAATTTATCTAAAAAAAAAACTGGTGGTGCCTACTTAAGAATTGTTAGGTGACTCCTAGTGAAGTGTAGTTAGCAACGGCGTGCGCGTGCGTCGCGCTCGAGCTAATCTCGTGTTTTGACACATTAATTCAATGTACGCGGCGCTCGCGCCGGCGCGTGCCTCTATTTACTGTTTGTGTACATTGTACGTTACTTATGTAATGCGCGCCTCCGTAAATATTGCAGTAAATACCACAAAGTCATCACAACTCAACAATTTTCATGGATCATAATGGCTGTAAACGTTAAGTGTACGGATGTGCACGAGTGGTAGACGTGCTACTGAAGATATAGCTGAACAATATACATATATACTACCTATTAGAAATAATTTTAACGTCTTAATAATAGTTTAATGTCATAGTGGCCCGGAGGTTAAGGCGCCCACTTTTCATGCATGAGGTTTCGAAACCTGGCAAGTACCTTTGTGACTTTTTCCCAGTTATATATACCTGCATACTTTCTATGATTAACTTTAAATTTGTAACTATAAGTTTGAAATCGCCAATCCGCCTTGAGCAAACGTGGCGATTAAGGCTCGAACGTTCTCCTTGCGAGAAGAGGCATTTGCTCAGCTTAGGATGATGATAATGATGAAGATAGTTTAGTACCAAGTTCGTTGTAACTTCAGTTATTTGATAAAGCTTTCTTCTGTCTCCAGGTGTTGTACTACACGTGGAAGCTATGCTCGGTGGTGTTCTCCCACTTCGTAATGATCAGCCTGGTGGTGGCCTACTGCATCCTGGGAGCCGTTACTTTCGAGAAACTGGAAGCTCAGCACGAAAGAGAGGTGGACGCATATATGTATTTATGCTTATATTTATATTATTTACTAAATGCAAGTAGTAACGTATTAAATAGAGGCCATGTTTCCATGTTGATAATGTTTTTGTATTGTGTAATAGAGAATTTAAATGTTGCCAATATCTACTCTAGCTCTGAATCCAAGTGTATTCTGTATCTTCATCAATCTATTCGCTTTATGAAGCTTTTGATTTGGTTTGGCGCCTACGCCTGACGCTGAACTGATGCTCATATTTGTGAAGAGATCTTGTATCCCTGTTACCGTCTTTAGCGATTACAACAACATCTCAATTTTATAAAAGAAGTTTTTTGTACGGCACATGGGGCGCCATAAATTTAGTTTTATCAAGACGTGGCACGGTGCCATGCGGCCATCAAACTCAGCTGATTAACGATTGTGATGGCGATTCAGTAGAGAGCGCTGTAACTGTCTGAGCACAACTCTGTATTATCATGTCATGAAACGTTGCTGTGCTGTGATAACAAGAGAAGGAACGGTGTGGGTTTTAGTCAGTAAGAGTCTGAAACCCCCTCTTACCTGACCCTGAGCAGGGAAGCAAAATGAAGCTTTTCCAATCTCAAAATAAAAAATGTGTTTCACTGAACCCGTGTGGGCTAATACACAATGTTATCGAGTCGACTTCAATGAGCTTGAAATTTCCCACCCAGCACTCACCCTTACGGTGTGTGAGTCAGTACAAAAAATTGTAAATACTGATCGGATTGAATTTGCGTGAGAGTACACGTGGCTAATTAAACAAACGTCATAAAAGAGCCATCAAATTAGAGCGTTTTTAGAAGCAAGGAATATGAAGGCTCAGAGCTTTGCACCAAACTCACTATCGGAATGATTAGTTGTACCTACAGTAAAATTTGTATTTGTTACTGTGACTGTAAATAGTACTTCAGTACTATGTTCATGTGTCGCTCACCAGCGCCTGCTTAGTGATGCTCATCGATAGGATCCGAATGTTTACAAACATATCAGTTCATGTCTAACCATCGTATACTGTGTATTCCATTTTCATTGAACCAAATATATATGTTTCTATATGTATGTCGCTATGTTAATCAAAATCATTGTATTCTTTCAACCCACACTAAGGAACCTTGCATGCACCTCCAAAGTCTATTTTCTAAATAACCATAGATACCACAAAAATTAAGTCAAATAGGCATACGTCCATTGATGAGGTCTTTACTTAAAATACCCTTTCCGATAATGCAGGTGAAGCAGAACATATCTCAGATCCGCAGCAACACGACGCAGAGCATCTGGACGATGACTCGCACGGTGCCACTCTTCAACCAGACCAACTGGACCTCCGAGGTCGTCGACATGCTCAAGGTGGACCAGCTTCATTTCTTAATGTCGAATATTAACTAAATTGTTGCTGAATATTGTCCAACCCAATTCCGAACAATATTTCCCGGAATATTTTGTTGATAATTTATTTTTAGATATGTAACGCTTTTCCATGAACACAGATTTGACGAAAAGAAATACGGATCAGAACTTGTGACGACGACAGTTTCCACACTCCTCACAGATCATAAGAAATATTGAATAAATAAACACCCACTCGTGCGCACCTCACGGGGAACTATTTAAAAGCTATCGATCCAGTTGTGCTACTGTGTGATGGTGGCGCACACTAACATGCACAAATAACATTGTGAATATTTTATATGTGCTTCATAGTTAGATGATAATTCTTTTGATGCTCTTTCTCTTTTACATTGTTAGTCACGTACGTATATTACATATATAACGTATCATGCGGTTATTGGCAGGACTTTGAGAATGCGATCCTGCTGGAGATGAAGGTCCGAGGCTGGGACGGCAATGAGAGCACCGACCACATCCAGTGGACCTTCACAGGCGCGCTTTTCTACTCCATCATTGTCATCACCACTATCGGTGAGTGAGTAATCAGTCAATTTGATGATATTGTTGGAGTGCCATTTCATGAACTATTGTTGTCCGTTTGTCTCGATTACGTAAAAGTAAAATTAGAAAATGTAGAGGAGTAAGGCACAGTTTACTAACTCCTACTAACTCTGGAACTAGGTCTGAATTAACGATCGAAGCGATTTCGCAATAGAATTTTAGTCTACGGGATTTACGGCATAATATTAATTCGGAAAATTTATTGGGTTACATGCAGAATGATACTCAGAGAAGGCCCAATTCGAACGGTTGTAAGAAGGGAGTTATAGAGAAGGTCTTCTCTTCTACAGTTTCTAACATTTCCAAAAGACAGAGAGAATTATATTTATTTCTATTTCGAACTCGAGGTGGAAGTATGCGTGATCAGACAGAGAGACGAGGATCAGTAATTTTTAGAGCGGTATCCGTTATTTAGTATTCCATATAGCTTACAATACGGAATACTTCCCGTAAGTGTCTTATAAGCGAGTGAGGAAGTAAAAGTGCGCCTGACTCAGGCCGGTGTGCTGTGACTGGGAGTCACCATGTCTACTTAGAAGTCACCAATTTCTGAGCGAGGTCCACTGGACGTCTCTTCTTTTAACGATTCGCAGTATCATGGTTGGTGTGCAGTGTAGTTGTACTGCGGCCGGAGTCTGGCGCGCCGCCAGCCGCCATCCGTCACATTTTTTATACTGACTTCTACGGTGAACGATCTCTTAGTTTTCGCTATAAATTCGACACATCTGACTTGTGGAATGTCAGCTTGTTAATATCGTTATAATTAGTAGTATCGGTAGTTCAGGCAGTTTACTCGAAGTATTTAAGAGCTTTATTAAAATTAACTAATAATTATCTTACTTGATAATTTTTTTTTATTTATAAAGAGCATTCATCGATTTAGCTTTATTCTTTTCTAGTTTACCCAATGTCAGTCATTTTTGAATTGTGTTTGGCTATTCACATATTTCACAGATCACTTATAGATGTGGAATCTCTAATATTATTTTAAAATATATTTCTTGATCTACAGGTGAAATGATTTTATTACAAAATAATAATCACAATATTTATTATACTTAAAGGCGTATAATATAGGATTAATGAAAAGGAAAGAAATAGTTTCCTACTATTCGTTTATTTCAGTAACATATGTGGTTGGCGTGTTGGTTGTCTCTGTATACTGGTGTGTGGACTCTGTTTCGGACGAGGCAGGCTCCTGCGTCGCGTCGTCCGCCGCGGCGCTCCCCCGCTTGCACGGGTGGCCTGCAACAGCTCAGCGCTTACTACCCTGTGAGCTGTTCGCACGCGTGTGCAGCTCGGGGTTGTCGCGGTTATCACAGGACCACATCAATATGATTAACTACAATTATTTACATGTACTTACACTGCTCGTGGTGCATATTACACTCCAAAGTCTCATAGGTAAACTACTTACAGCGTTATAACTTGTTAGTTCCATATTCTATTAGTCACCACACAACACATGGCACGATTATTTACCAAAGAATCGCTGCGGTCCAATCCGGCCAGTGGGTCCACCGGGGCCCACTAACACTTGTCTCCCAGGCCCGATGGAACCCGTGGGGCCGCCAGGGCCCGTTAGAATTCCTGGTTGCCTGCCGTAAGCAGGCCCGATGATACCGGTAGGCCCGCCTGGTCCTACTAGAATACCTGGGTTGCGGCCCCTGGCTGGCCCGATAATACCTGTAGGTCCTCCTGGGCCCACTAGCAATGGTCCGCGGCCATACGAGCCCAATCCCGAGGGTCCCATTGGACCAACCAAGACTCCGCCTTGTGCCGTCTCGCTTCCTGTTCCGTCAGGCGCTGGGCCTACGATGCCGGTTGGTCCTTCAGGTCCAACAAGAACTCCGGGTTGTTTATGTTTGGTTTGTGGCCCTAGTACTCCTGTTGGACCGTCTGGCCCTACGAGCACTCCCAATGGCTTCTCGAAAACTCCAATGTGCGAGGAGTCATGGTCGTGTCCAGGTCCGAAGGAGCCGAACAGACCGTTGAGTGCGGAGGCTGGCGGCGGTGGAAACGGGCGCGCCAAGTTCTCTTGTCCCGGCAGTAGCATCGGTCGGTCGTCCTCTAGTTCGTTGAAGTATTCTGTGGGGAGAGCGTGGAACTGATTAATCAGTGCCCGACCTTGAACATGTAATTACAAGACGGTAGAATGAGCTTGACTCGAACTTACGGTTTTTGTGAGTAAATGGGAGTTTGTTTTTGTGGTGCGGGTAACAGCACAGGGACTTGCCGGCTCCGCAAGCGTTCTGAAATCATGAAGTCAATGATCACTAGGAGTCTAGCATTACAAGTGTTGAAGAAGTATGCTTCGGTATGAACGGGTCGGAGTGAGCCACGGCGTGAAATCTCGCTTGCGTCGGTGAGTGACGTGGCCGGAGGTCTATTCGGCCCCCGATACCCAATTACTAAATCTCCAAAGGCACTCTGATGTTGCGCGTGATGAGGGAGATTGTGTGTATGTATAGGCTATAAGTAAGTAAATGAAATTATTATCATACCCGTGAGTCGACGCGGGGATTGCAGTCAGCGTTGCTGACACACTTGCAGTACTGCAGGGAGTCCAGCGTGCCATCAGACAACATGTTCTTATGCTGACTGTAACGAGATAATAAATTATAAAAGCACTGAGAAAGCCACAGTTAATGTTACAGCAATATTTGGTCTTTTATCGCACAAAGCGCCAATTCCAAACTCCGTGTTTACTTGCATGTACCTGCTGAAAGTTTTCAAAATTGTGTTAGAAGCCATGCTTCGGCACGTATAGGTTGGCACCACCGGAGTGATACCACAGCCTCACAGAAAACCAGCGTGAACCAACTACATTGTGTTTCACCATATGAGTGAGGTTAGCGGAGGCTCAATCCCCCATCTATTCCCGATCCTTAAATATCTCGGACTCGTAAGTTCTCTGTTGTTGCTTGTGTTCATGGGCAGGGCTGATTGCTTACCATCAGGTAATCCGTCAGCTCGTTTGCCGAACTATCACATAAAAAAAAATACAAATGCTTTGTAATGGAATGTAATGTGCGTTAGCTTTTGAGGGTTGTAACGAGCAGGTGCTAGTTGTTCTATGTATTGACATATGTTGGGGAGAAGGCCAAAGAAGGCAACGTGTAATGTAATGTAAGGCGTACATGTTGGCGCTGTAGATGCCGGTGCCGTCGGAACGGTAGGGCGCGCGGTGCGCCTCCACCCGGACCGGGTAGCGGCCGGCGCCGGGCGGCCGGTTGTAGAACCCGTCCGTCTCCTCCGGCTGCTTGAACGGCACATCATCGAACATCACGTGGCGAACTACCTTATCACTGTCTCTGAAAATATGAATCAAAAATCAGAATTTCATGTTATAGTAAGCAAATACATATGCATTGTTGTTCTTGAAGATATCTCAATGGTTCTCCATGAGGGCAGTACACGAACGATCGAATATATACGTAACACCGAGTACATAAGTCGACCATTCTACAGAAACACATAAACATTTACAGTAACATGTTTATGGCTTATTAATTTTGTGAAGCTTTAAACTTTCCCAACACAATACATTGCGCGATTGTCAAGTAACTCAACCATTCGACACTTTGTTTTATATCTAAGTGCATTCTAACAATAAGGTGCAAGTATTAATCGCGGCCATTATTGGAGGTATACCTACCTTAATATGTAGTTAGAACAATAATATTGGCATTGTTACTTTTACACCTATTTGCTAATACAACTTGGAACTGTACTCGTAAATATATATTTCTGTTTATTAATTGCTCTACATAACACGATGTGTTTATGAAACAGCCGGCAGTCAGTCGATCAGATCAATCTACCAACATTGCCTAATGTAGTTAGTGTGCCGCTCACTTACACTCACACTACTTAACAATTGTCAAACAACACTATTTGTCTGCCAACGTAACCTTTTTAAGATTTCGTGATTGGTTTTTCGTCACATCGACATTTTGTCTGACTCATATTTTCTATTGACCATTTACTAAGTTACTACCTTATCTTTCATTTACCTACATTTGATCAGCGAAATTATTGTGGCCTACGAATACTTAGACACAGTAACTATAATTATTGTAAAACCTAAGTTGTTGCGTGTGCGCAGGGAAAACCTTACGAGTGATTAATGTTTCCTGTGATTAGATAATTTTACGAATTGGTAAATAATAGGACTAAACTAGTAATAATATGAATAAAATTGCCTAATTACTTCTAGTGAACTATTGTTCACATTACAAAAGCCCTCCTCTTAAAGGTTTGACGTAAAATAAGTGACGGGCGGGCGGCGCGGGCGCATGCGTCCGGCAGGGGGTAGCGGATGACGCCACCACTACACTGCCACTTGGCTGTTATTGTTGTAATCACATTGGCAATTACGGTGTCCTACAGAATTGCTACTCAATTAGTGAAATGAAACCCGTGCGGAGTGACGCAAGCCATTCTGCGGCGTGCGACCCATTGTGCCGAGCATGTCGGCCAAGGTGCGGCGGCGCCCACTGCCGTGCTACTGAAGCACTTCTCTCGCAAAGCTTCCCGCGCAGGGACGAACGTACACTATACTCGAAGTGTTCCAAGGTTACACAGAATACAAGTTTCAAAGTAATTAATTTACGCAGTAGACTTTCGCAACCATCACGGCATATTCACAAATATAAACTCGCTTTCCTATAGTTTCTTAATAAAAAAAAAACATTGCCGCACACTAGGATATTCTTCTGTGTCGTGGGTGCGTTTACAAACATACAATTTCACACACATTATAAGCGCAATCAATCAAAGCAAATTTATCTGGTAATTCCGGTCACGTCCTAACTTATACATATTCTAAAATTTGGATCGTGGCATTGGCCGTTTATATTTAATGGAGGTAATTCCCCATAAGGCGATTTTAATATAAAATTGGATACAAACAGAATATCGAAGGCCGCACGCGAGTCACAAGGTTATACTTCTGTCAGCCCAATTAGTCATCTAGGTCGTAATTATAATTGATAATAAGTTATTAATAAATATAAAAACAAAGTGATTTAATCCTCGCTCAACTAAAGTCAAAAGTCAAAAATCATTTATTTCAATTAGACCCTTACAGGCCCTTTTGAACGTCAAACAATTTTTTTTAAGATGTCGAGTCAGTCTGTCGGTCTGTCCTCTTAGTGAAGCTATTTGCTCGTTCCAAAGTGTAGATTCCGATGGAGAAGAACGAGCAAGAAAGACCATGGTTACTCTTTTTAAATATGTCGGAGCGACGATTATTTAAATTGAATTTTGAAGGAGGTTTTATCACAATTCATCGGACGAGAGTACCATAAATCGTACTCTGGCGGAACGTCAAACTGGCAGTTCTGCGTGCGCATTATGTGGGAGAGCGAGCGCTGTGACTGTCATAAGAGACGGATCGCCGACGTCCGTTATTTTTGTAATTTAATCGGCCTGATTATAAAATCCTACGCCCTGCGATGGACTGTGAAGAACGATGATCGGGATGTTGATGTTTGTACCAACCCCCCGGTGCCTTCATCAGAAGTGGGATTTGATGGGAAACCATCTGATAATCCGAAAGAAGGACTTGTAACTGACGCGGATGAAAAAGGGGCACGCAGTCATCTGTTTTTCATGCCACGTTTCTATGCTGAGAGAAGAAGACCAGCTACGCAACATTGTTTGTTCTGTATTCTGAGGCAACATTTAAAGAATTCAACGCTTGCGGCTATAGAGCTTCCAAAGGCTTGTTGGAGACATCTACGGGTGAGAGAGTTCCTTTTCTTTGTGATAACGGGTTATCTTCCTCATTATTTGCGTGGTCATATGATTGAACCAACGACTGTAGTTATAACGAGCGATATAGTTCACGTTCACAAATTAGATGTTGTTAGTTGATGGTTGTACCTAGTTTCATCTGGGTAACGTGAATGTCTGTGAATATAGTTGTGAGTTGGCGTAACTGATCGTTGGGAAGGATAGTGACGTCCGGTCTATGTCACGTGGTGTCTAGTCGGAGGGACGCACTAGTCTGACCCAGGCAGGTGATCTGGTGAGCTGGTCGGAGGGATGATGTGGTCTTGCCGGAGCATGTTGGCTGGTGGTAGAGGCGCATACATCCGGTCCATGCACACCAATCGCTGAGGCCGTATCAATGTAGTTTGGGATAAGTTGTTTTGGAAGTAGGTACAACTGATAATGATGATAATGTTACATCGATGTTGAGTGCAGTAACCAGGCGATGTTGAGATAGCATGTTAGTCAGGATGAACGAGCAGCGTGCTATACACGTGGAATCTTTCTTCTGTTCCAGAACTACCACATAACTATGATCGCTCGAGGACGAGCGAATGTCAGTCTGGCCGTGTCGGAGCGACGATTATTTAAATTGAATTTTGAAGGAGGTTTTATCACAATTCATCGGACGAGAGTACCATAAATCGTACTCTGGCGGAACGTCAAACTGGCAGTTCTGCGTGCGCATTATGTGGGAGAGCGAGCGCTGTGACTGTCATAAGAGACGGATCGCCGACGTCCGTTATTTTTGTAATTTAATCGGCCTGATTATAAAATCCTACGCCCTGCGATGGACTGTGAAGAACGATGATCGGGATGTTGATGTTTGTACCAACCCCCCGGTGCCTTCAAATAAGTTTCACATACAGATTCCTTATACAAACAACTAGTATATGAAAACCTGTTAACTGTCGATAAGTATTGGCCAATATTTTCTGGCTATTAAAATAGGCGGTCACACACCACTGGGCCTTACTGAGTAAATACTCTTTTGTTGCAACAACTGACCGAGCAAGCGCTAATCTAACTTGTTGCCTAAACCATACTTATACCAACGAAGTATGGGGCTCACAGCCTGAGAAGAGAGTGTTTATTTGTCTATTCATTCATATACATTTATTTAATTATTTGTTACTAAGGAGAGGAATCATGTTATAGGACCAGCATCGTGACTTAATTTTATATGCGACCAGCAGAAAAAGAGTCTTTACCCTATTTAAGGACCTACTTAACATAAGGAAAACGAAATTTTAATTTAAATAACTATAGCTTAGCAAATAAATTGTTTCTCCAAATCAGTTCAGACACTATACATGTAATTACCTACATACATCGGCGTAAAGTACATAATAATTATTAGTATGTCTGTATTTCATTACGTTTGCGGGTTTGAATCAATCCTGTCGCCACAGTGAAACCAGCGTGACAGCGTGCTTACTTCACGTAAAGTTATGTAAACAAACTGAAGCAAGCCTTTAGGCTGTAGCAGAGTCGGTGAGGGTAACATTACACTGGAGTTTTGTAACGATCTATATTGATTACGGACCTTAAACGAAAAATATTAAAATGAGTATATTTTTGGTGGTAAATGTAACTACGCTTTAAATAAAAGTCCCATATTGACTTGAAAACAGTACACACTTTTCCAGTTAATTGACGTTTTTATTCGTTACTAGCTTCCGCCAGCGGCCTCGCCCGCGTGCTGTGTTGATAAAAAGCAGCTTATGGCAATAGAATAAATACAGCTGTAGTATGCTTTTTCTGATTAAAATCGATCGATGTGATGGACTTACTTGTCGGGCTCGGCATCAATGAAGCGCACTTTGGTGTCGATGCGGACGGAGGCGGCTGCCTCGCTGTCCGGCCACTGCCAATTGGCGGAGCAGGTCCCCGCCACCACCAGCACGCACCATAACACTCCTGGCACAGACAACAGCTTCTCTTTAACACAAATAACTTCTCTCATACTCTTACTGTCTAAAAACCCTCCTTTTCTTTTTCCTGCAGTAGGCTGAGGCCGCGGTACCTCATTGCGCTTGCCCCGCACCCTGGCTGAACATCGGAACTGAATAGCAGAACATTACGCTGGGCTGGGCTCTGGTTCTGGTCGGCCGGCGATCTACCCTAGCTTGCCTACACAAAGACCTGATTAACCTATATAACTTGTGGTATAGCTGCATGCGTATGACACACGTTCTGTGTAGTAACTTACTGATTTGGGTAATACGTTTATTTGCATGAGTGTACTATCAAAAGATTATTGTAAAACGTACAAACCCGGACATACGCAGTATCGACTTTTTTAGTAATAAAAAACTTAAGCAAAAGGGATCAAATGTTTTTGTAATTGCACAAAAAATAGAAACCGACAATATTTAATTAGCAACTAATGGTGCGAGGAAACCGAACAGTTTTTAGGAGAGTTTCTGTCGAATGACTCATTATATCTCAAGAACACGTCGATAGTGTGTACCTAATAACTTTATATCATTGCTAGAGGTGACAATGGACGAAGACTGAATGAGCCGGGGCTTGTGAAGGAATGTTATTGTAGATGCCTGAAGCCGCCTAGATGATGTACCTACTTAATTACGCATACGCAGAACACTTGCGCTTAATTCCATTCATAATATAAAATTCTTTGTATACCCGTAATAAAGATGTAGGTATGTTCTTTTTGTGGGTCCGGAAATCCATCTATACTATTATATTTATTTGATCTCCGCTAATCACAAGCTATATATTTTGTATTTGAACTTGTGTTATTAATTTGTACTAGGAACAAACAATAATATCGACTGCTGATATCAATTAGATGACATCAAGTCATTGTTTAGTTGAGATGTAAAAATATAACAAGTAATCACTTGCGTAGTTCCGAGATGATTCATAGAGACGCGGGGCGCTAGCGACGGCCGGCGCCGGAGCATGCGCGGCAGGAACGGCGCGACAGTTTACAAATATCCGCAGTTACATTATTATTGAAATGACGAATTATTAATACAACCCTTCATTACCTAATGCCTGCTGCGGAAACGTATATAAAACAATGTGAATATTACATCCTACAATCAATTCTAGTTTATGAAATACTCTTTGAAATGTACCTGAAGCGGACGATGCGTATTTATTTATGTTTTTTTTAGGAGTGATATCTCTTGATGGTCAACATACCATTAATTATCTTTAGATTAGGTTTATTGCCAACTGTAAACATGTCATGTTATTGTAAAAAAGAAGATTTTGACTCTTCTACAGTAGCTTGATTGATAGACACAGGAAGAGGAGGTAAATGCTATGGCAATATTTTGAGTTTTAAAGCGATGTATTTTTTTAGTCTAACTAGGGCAAACAATACCATACCAACCAACCATAGTTTGATACAAAAAACTACGAGAGGGAGGCTCGTAGAAGCATACTCCTTGGCGGGGTATCATGTAAGAACCTTGGTCGGGACTCTTCGGACAAAAATACTGCAAAGCTCAAAAGTCTTCAACGAGTGAGAGGATGCTGACAGTGATCCACAAATGTAAAGTCCCACAGCGTGCTCAAAAGAGGGCTATGCACGGTGTCTCTGAAGAATGGAATTCGGGAAATGTGGTGATCCAACAGAGAACTGGAGTTACCGACCATAGCGCAAAGGATTAGCAATCTGACATGATAACCATGTAGGGTAAGTCACATTTGTCGCAGAACCGATGACCATTGAGATCGCGTCTAGGCAAACTACTATAGGGCGCTCTGCAGCTGTAGTGTACATTTGGAAATACCTATGATAAATCAGTTGACGGAAACGCCCTGATGATGATGATGAAGATGAGTTTTTTTGAAAAGGGATAGAAGTTATTTCTCGCCCTTTTCCTGCTCCGAGCTGTGCCTCGATCGTATTTGCATCCCCTTAGTAATGCATCCATGTAATTAGTACAATACATACATGCAATTAGTGTATTATTTAGAAAGCAGTTAGACGGTGCCGTACAGTGTACAGTACCTACGTAATGTTATAATGTTTGGCTCGCTCAGCCGGCTGTTACACAAACATCAACAACTGATATCAGACTAGTGACGTCACTCATAGAACATAACACAGCGACCATTGCACAGAACCACTACCTTATATCATGCACACTATTTTGTCATAGCAACTTATTTGGGAAGACTCCTCCATTTCCCACTTCCTCCAATTTGCCACAAATACTGAGTATATTTTGCCAGCGGCGAAACAGCATACGTACAAGTGCCTGTCGCCATATACTATTGCTACCAAGCCTGCCAAGCTTCCCTACCAAGTCCTTTTCCTAATAATCCCAGAATCTTCAAATCCCTAGTCCGTAAAAGGCTGGCAGCGCGCTTGCGACTTTGATGTTGTGGTGGTCCATAGGCATCCCGATTGTTCACTTTGACGTATTTCCTGATAGTAAGCAATCGGCGCCGCCTATGGACACCGGCAACACGGATAAGTGTTTTTGAGATTTTGGGATTCGGAAAGGGGAAGAAGCAGGGCTTCCGGTAACCTCAATCAGATGGCGAAACATAATGCTGTGTTGTTGTTTGTTTCACGCCGGTTTAATGTGAGGGTGTGGTAGCACTCCGGTCAGGCCGTCCCATTGGTGCCGAAGCATGGCATTCCTTGCAGTCCCGCGCTTACTGTGTCTCCTACTTTGCGAGCATCACTGCTTCACAGAAAGCAGAAACGGTTTCCCAGTTCCTCTTGCTCCGTACCATTTCCTCGACTAAGTCCGGACGAGAGATCTGGCTTCCCTGAGGACATGGCAGTGCTCAGCCCAAGCAGGAGAATCAAAGCTTTAGTTTACATCAATTAAAACTAAGGATTTACATCAAAGCACAACAAAAACATGGTAGTGATGAACAAACATATATTTTAATATTTGTTTAAAATATTTTAGGGATTGTACCAAATTTTTTTTAACAAAAAAAACGCTATGATATCGGATTGTGATTATGACGTTCTCATAAGCTAAGCATTCTAAATTTCATTGTCTCCAACTAGTCGAAAATTTAATATACATTGTGCACCCTTAATAAGTTATAATAATCTATAAACTTAATAACGAAGCAAATTTATTTAATAGCGAGATCTGTGTTCACTGCTAATCTATACACAGCAGATACCGGTAACTATATAGCGTTGACATTTTACAAAATCCACGCTTGAGATTGTGAAAGAAGAGGTTTAATAGTCAACGACCATTTTGAGATATCTTGCTATGTTTGTAATGTCTAGTGACTTCGGTAAATAGAATAGAAGCGGGATTTTGAGGCGCGAGGACATAGTGGGCGGGCGGCCGCTAGGGTTGCGCAAACCTCAAGGATGTGCCACACACGGAGACCGTTTGGTAGTGTACCATTGTCCATATACACATTGGAGTACAGTCTACCTGTAGTGTATGGATGGACAACTACGTCTCTTATACATTAACTCTTCGTTGATGCCAGTTAGACATTCAGATACACACATATACACAAACAAATTGTAAGTTACATAAAAGCTTGTAAGAAGCCCTATGAAATAGTATAGTTATAACATATTTTTTTATGTGTGAAAAATGTTATAGTAAAAATATGTACTTAGTAAAAGCAATAAGTACTTAGGTAAATAAGTGCAATATAAGGAAGTCCGCCATCAATAAATAAATTAAATAATATAATTAATATAATAAGTATAAATAAAAAAAATACAAACCAATATTCATTTTCAAAAAAATATATAGTATTACACGAACACTTCACGTTTGGTATGGACGGACGAACAATTTTAATTTATTTATATAAAGTATATTATTATATGTATAAATCAAGACATCACTGTTTAGAAGATGTGAACTAGGTGAGCGACTACTCCGCTCGCCCTACGTTATGTAACTGCGGGTTGTGCTGCTGCCGCCGCTGATTTCAGCTGCACTTGCGCACGCGCTGGGCCGCTAAAACTACGCTTCATCGTTGCAATGAGTCGATTAATTCCTTTAAGATTTGTAAATCGATATTCTATTTGAAAATTTATATTTCTACGATTTCAGACAGTGGAAATTCGTCGATTTATTACAATACAATTCAAGATTATGAAAAGAACTACAGAGAACTTGGCTTGACTGCACTCGTTTATCATTATAGATTCGTGACCATTCACCATACTGACTGACTTGATATGGGTAGGAGTATGCGTGACGCAGTTTATTTTAGTCAATTGGATAAATACCCTCGTCTATATAGCCCCTAAAGCTATAATTCTCATCTAGTCATGTGTATGTGTGAATGAGAATTACCGAATATCACTACTGTTTTTCACTGAAAAGCAAAAAGGTTCTTAAAACTAGGTAATTTGTGTTCTTATTTTATAATTCCATTGTGTTTGGGGTTGAAGCTATTGTTGATAAGAGGAATTAATAATAAAAATCACCAGTCACCATGTTAGGTAACTGAAGCAGTATTGAGATTGTAAGGCGTCATTTTAGCGCTGCTAGAGATTGCAGTAACGTGACGTATCGTAAGTTGAAGGACGCGCGCCCGCGCAACCTGCTCTCGCGAGATTATAATTCTACCACCTCGTAAGGGTTGCTTTTCGGTTGTTTAAAGTTAGGGTGTTCTAGATATAAAATTAAACGTGTGAATGCTTGCCTTACAAAAATGTATTCTTTCTTCTTATTTGATAGACAGATTTATGTACCTACCAAAGAGTATGTATGTGAAACTGATTTAAAAAGAGTAACCTTGGAGTTTCTTGCTCTTGAAATCTACACATTGGAACGAGCAAATAGCTTTACTATGAGGACTGTTCAACAGACTGACACTTTTTATCTTTAAGCTTTGTTTGACGTTGAAAAGTGGCTGTAAGGGTCTGATTGAAATAAATTATTTTTGACTATTTTAGAAAAAAAGATACATGAGGTCCTTGTACGTTTAATTCATGAAATAAAGTTAAAAAGTCTTTTGAATTATAGTCTTGCC